AGGATTGCTGAGTCATATTCAGAAATAGAGATGGTTTTTTAACATCTATGATGTAACGTTCATTTGTTTTTGCCTTGGCTTTTACAGCTGTTGTGATTTTATTATGAAAATTATGCTAGATTCTTTGGAGAATTATTTTCTCTTTAAAAGGAGTTTTATTTTGTTAATGATGTTTATAAAGGGAATATTTTACCTAAAGTGGTTTTCCTGGTGATTTTTTTTAATTATATGTGTATCATAGAGTAAAAATAAAGGTGGAAATATTTCAATATAAACATTAATTTGTACTGGAAATATACTAAAAAGTTTTCTGTTTTCAAAGCCTGAAAAATTAGTGTATTTATTATTTTTTTGTTTGTTATAAGGTGTTAGGAAAAATTAGAATGATAATTCTCTATAAGTAAAAAGAATTCGTGGGTTCTTGAACCTTATAGTATACAGTGTGGTCTAATCGTTAAATAATCTATTCCTAAAAAAAAATATTTTTTCTCGAATTTTAAATTACACCATTTAATAGTTATTTTTTATACAAGACGATAAAATGGTATTTTATTTTCAGAAATGGAAGCAATTAAAAACCGTGCCAGAAGAAATAAAGTTTTTAACCTATCCTCGCATTTCCTATCATTTAATCTACCCTTGTGGTTAAAGTACTATTTTTGATAGATACAGCTATGGAAAAAAAATCTTTTTTACTCAATGTAAAAATAAATTATTACCTTCTTACGGCCAACTGGCAGCAAGAGCCATTAAAAAAAAGAAGAGTGTGGGCCAAGTAGGGCTTGACTTCGCCAAAATTATCGATAGTCGTTCCTCATTGATGCCGTTTTTTTCTCGATCGTATGGTTTTAGCATAAATGACTTAAATTCCCATGTGACTATATCTTACTTGTTACAAAAATAGCAAACTATTTATAAACAATTTGTCGTATTTTAAAAATGGCAAATCTATTTAAAGGAATGGTAGATTTAACATAACTTTTTTGTTATTGTGCTTAGTTTTAAACGTACTTTCTTGCCGATTTTATAGGTATTGTGGTGTTTAAAGAATACATTATTTCTTGAAGGTGTTTTGTTTATAACTACATACATATTTAACCTGTTTTTCTTCAGATTTTCTTTGAAAATGTCTACAAACAAAAAATATATTTTATTGTTTCGGAATCAACGTGCGTAAATTCAATATCCAGAAATTTGAATTTACTTTTTTTAGTATCGTACAGGGTGCTCAAAAAATATCACTAAAAAAATATGTGTATATAGTATATACATTTTTTTGCTAATACCAAATTTTTCTTTAAAATTGTTTAAATCTTTATAAGTTTTTGTAGAAGTATAGTTTTCTGTTACGCACCTGAGTATACACGTTTATCGATAAAAAATCGATACGATTCAATGGCCTTGATAACTGATTGATAATAATTTGTCAGGATGTACATATACATAGATAATATTTAATTTGATCTCGAAAATTAATTAAAGACTTTGTTTCAATGTAAACAAATGTTACAGACATTGTTTATTATCTTTTCTTAAATTGCGGGTGTAATTGCTTTTTTTGTCCCATTATACATAATATGTGTGTATTGGTTCTTGTGGTTTCTAAAATATACCGTACGTGCGAAAATAATAAAAAGGAATTATAGTGCCATTTTAACCACCATCATTCATTGAAGAAATAAGAAGATGCGCAACCTTATGGGCGATTTCGTGGCATAAAATCTGTCCGAGATGTAGTTGGCGTTACCGTCAGCCTGTCCGAGAATTCCGAGATTTAGTTTAGCTCTGCGCCGCGCCGCTGCGCACTGATAGTCGTTTACAGAGCAGCGGATAAAGAATAATGTACCGTAGTTCTGCTTTCAGTCGACAGAGTGAGTGGTTGCCGGAGACATTGTTGCCAGAAGTACTGATTAATCCGTAGATTTACGGATTTTGGGTACAGTACGTAAATAATACGGATTTTGTATCGTTAAACAATTTAATATAATATTATATTATTAAACAAAGAACGGCGTTTCAAGCCAACTAAACGATTTTTTTCGATCATACGACATATTCAGTACCTATAAAAGGAATTTTATTTTTGTTGTTTATTCTATGTTTAGCACGAATTAATTTTCAATACATAAACGCGGATTTTTCATCCAAAGATATTTTCGTCAAATGTATTACACATATTTTACATTTTAATATGGCAAATATCTTGAGAACGTCTTGTATATTGTATCTTGTTTAGTCGTAGCTATGTTTACCAAGAGGCCTTTTTTACGTAAAAAATAACGGAAACGCATAGTTTTTCACTCAGTTCTTTTATACAGGTACAGACGAAAAGTTACTACTCTTCAAACTAGTTAAAAGTATGTAGGTTTAGCTCCCTACAAGTAGGAGTCATATTGACATCGAAATCAAATTTATCATGTCAAAAAACACCCAGACACTAATTTTCATCCAAATATTGACATTAGTTCAGAAATGATTTAGAAAAAATTGAAATATGTACAATGAAACTTTTACACCCTGTATCTCCGAAACGAAGCATTTTAGGGTATAAATTTGAACTCTTTTAGTTATTTTTACCTGTAGAATATGCTGTGGAAGTTTCCCGAGTAACAGTTCGGACCACCCTGTATTTTTTTAATGATTGGGATAATTCAAAATAGCGGATCCAATATGGCCGATGCGAATTTAAAAAATCGCACGGATCTTAACCAAAACCACCGCCATATGGCGGTTTTTTGGGTCGCTGATCATGAATCTGACGTCGGATTCGCAAAATTCAAAATGGCGGATCAAATATTTTTTTCGGACGCGAATTTAAAAAAAAACACCGATCCGAACAAAATCAGTATATGGGAGTTTTTTGGGTCGCTGATCGCGAATCTGAAGTCAAATGGGTCATTGATCGCGAATCTGACGTCGGATTGGCAAAATTTAAGATGGCGGATCCCTAGAATAGGGATATATACCCAGTGGGCGCGGGACCGATTCGAATCGAACCCACTTCGTTCTTGGGGTCGGCCATATGGGATCCGCCATTTTAAATTTTGCGAATCCGACGTCAAATTCATGATCAGCGATCCAAAAAAGAACCCTATGGCGGTTTTGGTTAAGATCCGTGCGATTTTTGAAATTGGCATCGGCCATATTGGATCCGCCATTTTGAATTCTCTCCGTCCGACGTCAGATTCATGATCATCGACCCAAAAAAAAACCCTACGGCGGTTTTGGTTAAGATTCGTGCGATTTCCTAAAATCATGATTTGTGGTAGGTTTTTTGAGGTTAGAAAAATATGAGACATGCTAGCGCAATTCTGATGGGTGTTTTGAGTTTATCCGACCCATTTACATTAGCTTATAGTGTTAGACATAACATTTTTTTTTCGATTTTTTCCTACTACGTTTTATTGAATTTTTACGGATTTTCACCAAGTTTTTGAGGTTAGAAAAAAATGAGATGTGATAGTCCTCAGCGTCGAAAAATACTAAAGGATATGATGGTCTGGTGAAAAGCATAGACCACTTTTCTTTTTTTTTGTGTGGCTGCACTGAAAAAAAGGATCTCTCAGTCGAAATGAATATGACTTTGACCCAAAAGATTGGCGCTTTTCAATAGGGCCAAGAACGACGTTTCTTTGCCCAAAGCATTAACTATCTTTTCATAAGCTTTAAAAAATTACTTTAGAGAATAGAATAATCTATCTGTCTAAAGTATTTCACTCTTGACCCAAAATTAATATGCAAAGGACTTCTTGCTACAAGAACAATAGTCTCTTTGATTCATGCAAAAATTCTTGATTGAAAAGGGACATTTCTTGATTAAAGAGACACTTTTCTTAAATCAATAGCGAATACTATTGACTCAACTAAAATTTATTTTGAACTAAGAGAAGTCTATACATCATATCAGGCATATTACGAGGTATATTATTTTCTGATAACTTTAGGTTTTCCTAGTCTGTAGTAAGTAAAGTGATATTATTTTCCTCGATAGTAGTTATTTCTGCTTCTTCACTACCTACTTGGTATTTTTTGGGGTGGTTCATCATTCTACAAATTATAAAAAAATGTTACATCACGATTAATAAAAGTAAAGCAAATAAATCATTAAAATTATAAGCTTTGGTCACATTTTGAATTTTTTAATACGACGAAATGAAATTCTAAAATTTTTGTAATTATTTGCTTAAAAAAATCGATACCTATATTCTTATACTATCTATAATCATGCATGCATGATCTAAACATGTGCATTAGGTAAATGTCTCTTACCTTCAAATATAGCAAATAAATGCTCTAATTTCCATTTTTTCAGAAACTCCTTTAAAGAATCCATATATCCTAAAATTTGTCCATAAAAAATGGCAAATGCATGTTAGTAACGATCACTAATTTGTTATACGATATGCGTTTAAAAAGCAAATTATGCAAAATTCCAAGTGGAAAATTCCAAGCAACAAAACCCGTGCGTACTATGATGTGCGATCTATGAAATGCGACGTACGACTGATCGGACTGCCGACTGATTGTATATACCTTCGTTATCGTCTTTGCTTATCGTTATTATTTTTCATCAAAAGAGTATTGGAAAGAGTATTGGAGCTGTTGGAAAAATGGCCATGTTTCTTGAATGAAGTACTTCCTAGCGTATTTTTCTTATTATCTTAAAACAAAGTAACTTGCACTTGGTTGAATGAAAATAGATTCAAGAGAAATTTTTAATTTTTCAAGAGAACCAGTTTTCTTGAGTTAAGAGAGTTTTTCTTCAGGCAAAATATTTTCTTTTACGCTAAAATAAATTCTCTTGCCACTAATTTTTTTTTTCAAGAACGATGACGACTTTAGTTCAAGTCTATCTTTTTTATCAGTGTGTGTTTTCATTTCAATACAAATTCTCCGTGGAACCTCCTCGTCGTAGGAGAAGCTCCACCCTGTATCTCTTGATAATTTTATCTATTTCAAGCACCGAGCGGTCCTAGTTCGTTCCCACTAAACTCGTGCGCTGTTCTCATATGAACACACGAATGTTAATAATTTTTATCGAACATTATTTCAGTTGTGCGGACTTCTCGGTCAAGTCCACATCTACTCGCGTTTTTCGCACCAAAAAAAATGCCGATTTTTTCACTCAAACAATGACTTTTAATATCCATCATTATACACCGACCCAAGTGATTAAAATGAAACAATAAAAGTTAATTGAAAGCGATACAAAATCGCATTTTCCGAGTGAGTTTTGTGTGAGAAACCGCGGGTTTTGTTTGTGTACACATATTAAAACAGTCGTCATGGTAGCCGAGGGTGATATAATATGTTTACAAGAGAGCCACAGCGATGAGGAGGGGAAGTATGTGAGGAAAATGGCCCAATCGGAAGTGAACAATAACGTCACGTATGACAGAGAAGGGGTGATAGTGAAGAACGGGATTTTGCTGGAGAATAGAGACTGTTGCAGTAATGTTTTTCGTTATAGGTATGTTGTGTCGTAACGTTTTTGTGTCCCGATTTTCTGTAAATAAACCTTTGTATGTCTGGTTGTTGTATTTGAAAAAAATATTTTGATGAACCTAAAAAAATCTGGATAAGTTTAATTGATATTGTTTTCTTCGACTTTTTTCACAAAATAAAATATTTTAGGGTATGTGTTAATATAAAAAACTACATACAAAAAATCTATAACAAAAACTATTTCTTACTTTCAAACTTCAAGAAACACTCTGCATTTATTATTATACAGGGTGAGTCTTCAATAAGTGTAAATATTTTTAGGGGTGGTATATTTTGACCCCAGAAAAACGCTTATGAGGTATTTTCGCGAAAAAAAATTTGAATTTTTTGGAAATTTTGTTAGTTTTTAGTTAAAAACCATAATTTCTCGATAATATGGCATGGCAACATAGGTAGTAGATTAAATTTACAAGAAAGAAAATCTCCAAGATCTAGTGGTTTTCAAAATTTAAGCAAAACATATTTTTTTGGATATTTTCGAAGTAAGATAATTTGGTTATTTTGGACTTATTTGAAAAACGATAAAGTGATAATATGTGTCTTTTATCGAGATCTGCCAGCCCTGAAAATATTTGCGCTTATTTAAGACTCACCCTGTATTTCTGAATATAACTTATGTACAGGGTGTTAATTAATAGATTATTCTAAATAAATGTGGATTTGGAATCAGAAATCAATATAATAATAAGTTATGAAAATGAACGTCTCTGTTGTTATAAATAAGTATTTGTCAAAAAATGAAATAAAATTTTTAAGGTGTTACTTTTTACCAGACTGTCTAATACAGATACAAAATTTAGTTTTTTAGTATTTGGAGCAATTCTTATTAATCAACGCAAACAGTCAATTAATGTAGTTTGAATACTGGAATCATATTAATTGGTCCTCTTTTATAAATATTTAAACAATTATTTTTTATTTTTTAATGACATAAACGAACTATATCGACAATATTAGTATCTGTACCCTTTAAATATTTGTTATATCTTTAAAAATAATCAAAAATATCAATATCCCATGGGTATATTGATAATTTAGGTCTAAATTAAAAGAAAATGCATTTTCTACGAAAACCTGAAGACATTTGTAAAAACTGATATAAATAATTTGATAGACAATTAAATTGTGCATTTGATTCTCCTAAAATATACAGGGTGTTCCATTTAAATTAAACAAGTTATTGCCGTTTAAAGCTAGTTATTATTTAAAATAAATTTTTAGACACTCTGTATAAGGTAGTATAATTTTTATTATTACAACACCAAAAAATAGGTAAATAGAAATACTTCAGTACCATATTTGGTTTTAAAAACTTAAATACGCCTAGAGAAATAAAGCATTAAAATTATTACTGTATTTTGACAAAAACCTAAATATTTCAAAAACGGTAAGATTAAAATGCTTTAAACCTTAATCAAATTTACCTTTATTTTAATCGTAGAAACTAAAAATGTAATAATATACAGGGTGTTCCGTTTAAAAAAAGACAACTTTGATATTTTTTATTTATTTGGGACACTCTGTATCTTGTAAAAATATTTTTAAATTGTAGCTCTAATAGTCCTGCAACGAACCCAAAACTTACAATTTGCAAAAATCTAATAGTTTAGCTACAATACTCCGCGTCGTATGTGGTGAACAACCCTGTATTCATAGTCAACTTAAAAAATATTAGAATATTTTTTTTAGTGAAATAAATGGATTGGTATGGACGCCATCCTTTTTTTCTGTCTTCGTCTGTCCAAATTTAAAAGTCAGTCAAAGAGTCAGAGTCATAAAACAAAGTATAAAAATATTTTACTTTTATGAGGTGTTAATAACACAATTTTTTTTTAATTATATTATCCAAATTTCAATAAATAAAAAATGTCTTCTCATCATGAATAATTACAAAGCCGCGAAATTTAATAAATTTAAAATTAAGTGCTTTATTTTGTAATGTTCTTAATTAATATCGATTTTGTTTTTATCAATAAATTTGATTCATCAGCGTACAGCGTGATATTCGAATGACCCCTATCGTTATTGTTTTTTTTTGGTAATTTTAGAATGTTATTGTTAAAATTAAAAATTTTATGTTTATTTAGGTGAAAAAAAATAATTACCTTGAGCCGGTAAAAATGTTCTGCCTGGCTAAGTACCAGAACGTATGTACACTGCTCGCAATAAATGAATAAAATAAATTCAGAGAAATTAGTAAACATAGATGCGCTTTTATACAGGGTTGTTCACCACATACGACACGGAGTATTGTAGCTAAACGATTAGATTTTTACAAATTGTAAGTTTTGGGTTTAGGTTTTATAAAGATTTAAATAGTTTTCTTTTTGCATACATATGGGTTAGTAATATTATCATTTTGCTAAAAACGATAATATTACTAGCCTGTACATTTTGTACATTTGTTGCTTTAAAAACAATCTAAAATGTCGATATTCCATGGGTATATTGATAAATGAGGTCTAAATTATAAGAAAATGCATTTTTTACGAAAACTTGAAGGGATAGGTAAACAGTGGTATAATACAATTTGATAGACAATTAAATTATGCATCTGATTCTCCTAAAATATACAGGGCGTTTCATTTAAATTAAACAAGTTATTGCCGTTTAAAGCTAGAAATGATTTAAAATAATTTTTTAGACACTCTGTATGAGGTAGTATTATTTTTATTATTGCGACACAATGACTGATCAATAAATAGACTTCAGTAAATATTTAGTGTTAAAAACTTTGATACCCTTGGAGAAATGAAGCCTTAAATTTTTTACTGCAATTTCACAAAATTGAAAATATTTAAAAAACGGTAAGGTTTAAGTGTAATAAACCTTAATCAAATTTACCTTTACTTTAATCGTAGAAACTAAAAATGTAATAATATTCAGGGTGTTCCATTTAAAAAATACAACTTTGATATTTTTTATTTATTTACGACACTCTGTATTTTTTAAAAATATTTTTAAATTGTAGCTCTAATAGTCCTTTAAACAAAATATTTTAGGAAACAGAAATATATTAATTATAAATATATACAGGGTGTTTCGAAACAAATAAAATAAATACAGGGGGTGATTCATGTTCAAAAAACCTTTAGTCATGTTCATAAACGTAACCGTCACAGCGTCAACCATTAGGGAGATATCGCAGTAAACAAAAGATGGCGGAAACAGAAATGTTCTAATTTTAATATTGAAAACGAAAGGTAGAGACCACTAAATTTTATGGAAGCATCACTGTTATGAAAGCACTTTCTGGTAATTTTTCACTTTAAAATGAGTGGAAGGTTGAAATAAACTACCCCTATCATTCTTGTTAACGAAATTCAAAGAAAATCTTATCAAATACATGCAAATGCTTTAATTTGGATAGTTTAGTTTGTTTAGAAACTTTTTTATCTCTTGTATTTTTTTTTATAAAACTCACCGATTTGAAATTAAAAATAAAATGTAAAGCATTACATGTCAGGACTAAAAATATTTTTAGATTAAGAATCTAGTGAATAATGATAATAATAATAAAATCTAGATAATAACGTATTGCAGTAGGGTAATGTCAAATAAAACAATATTAGAAACATCCTAAAAAAAAGTGACAGCGGCCGACTAGATTCTTTTTATCTAAAAATGTTTTTTGTCCTGACATGTAATGCTTTACATTTTATTTTTTAATTTCAAATCGGTGAGTTTTATCAAAAAACACAAGAGATAAAAAGTTTCTTAAGATTTTTCTTTTAAATTTCATTAACAGGAATGATAGGGGTGTTTATTTCAACCCCTTCCACATCATTTTAAAAAAGTAAAAAAATTACCTGAAAGTGTGTTTTCATAACAGTAATGCTTCCATAAAATTTCATTAGTCTATCTCTTTTCGTTTTCAAGATAAAAAATAAAAACATTATTTTCCGCCATCTTTGTACCGCGATATCTCCCTAATGGTTGACTTTTGACCCAACGTTTATAAAGCAAACTACCCTTTATTTTGAACAAGGAATCACCCCCTGAAGTTTTTCGCATTTGTTTTGAAACACCCTGTATAAACAGTTATTATTTACATCAACAAAACACCTTCTTAACATTACTACCGCTTTTTGAAATTTGTTCTAGAACAAATCTGTCAATTCTAAACTGTAAAGTTATAGACAATAGTTAATAAATATTGCTGTTCTTGTCTCGGCGGCCATACTTGTCGTCAGGAAATGACAGGAATGACATTAATGACTGTTTCCAATTTTCCTATTTCATTGTCACCCCCCTGGTGTAAAACAGATGACGTCAAAACAGGCACTGGAACATTGGGATTATTATGAAAAAACAAACAAGGGGACACGTTACGTTGATTGCACCCTCGTTTTCGTCAAGCAGTGTAATTAAAATAATTATAATTAACCACACAAGTGTACGCCATTGGCGCATCGTTACATACGGCAGCGTAATTTTTCAAATTCGTTCAACCTATGCGGTTACGTCCTCAATTTTTTCCAATTTTCTAGTTTTTTCTATTGTGTAATCATCTGTCGATTCCAAGGTCAGAAAAGGTTAGCAATATCGGAATAAATTATTAAATAAAAATAATTATGTGCGTGGTTGAACTTTAGATCATTTGGGAGAGTGTATAATAACAAGTTTTTCTAAATGTTTATTTTGAGGTGTGACTTGGAACAGTACCGTCGACAGAGAAGCTAGTGGTACTGTACGGCCTATGGAGCTTTGATTTTCACAGTTAAAAATATCTACATATATAAAAGCCAAAAAAATTGACTTCAGTTGGCATAGTTTGCTAAAATTTGTCGATCGATAATTTATTTTAGCAACAGTACCAATCACTAGTCGTAAATTAGGGTCAATTTTCGTTTAGCCGAAATCAGTTATTACAAAAAAAAGCACTTTAGAATAACTGAAATCTGCTATAAAAAAATACATTTTGCGTTTAATTTTTAATATTTTTCTGAACATATAAACACAAAAATTTTCCTGCGGAAATAAGCTGTTTTCATTTTCTAAGGAAATTTATTAGACTTTAGAATAGCTGAAATCAGTTATATAAAAAATAAATATATTTTTGCCTTTTAGAAGCATTCACGAATTGAGGAAAATAACAATTTTGCTGTGGAAATAAACTGTATCCATTTTCTGAGAACATTTAATAGAGTTTAGAATAGCTGAAATCAGTTATATAAAAAATAAATATATTTTTGCCTTTTAGAAGCGTTTACAAACTCAGGAAAATAAAAAATTTCCTGCGGAAATGCTTCATTTTTATTTTCCATTTTTGTAAGCATAAATACATAAAAAAAAAACCTTTTTATCACTTTTGAACCAAAAAAAAACTAATTTAAAAGTGTGTAAAATGCTAACCAATCTAATAATAAATCTAATAATATTTTTACAAAATCACAGTTAATTATTAAAATATAAAAACCACAGCTTAACACCCTCCACAAAGAAAAGCTAACCAAAGCCACCCAAATGCTAACCAATCTAATATTTTTGCAAAATCACAGTTAATTATTAAAATATAAAAGAAAACTGCATGATCCAATGATTTTTTGTTTTGAATCAGCCCTATTTACGTAAAGCTTTAATAAAAAACAAGAATAAGTGCAACATTCCGAGTCCGAGGTACTTATAGGAATTTTTTTGTATTTCTTTGCTCGTAAAGGCTCGTATAAAACAAGTATATAAGTCCATTTTTCATGTAACTGATTTCGGTTATTCTAAAGTCAAATCATTTTTTTATGTAAAATAAAAATAAAAAATTTCCGCCAAAACTTTTTTGTGTTTTTATGTTTAAAAAAATGTCTAAAACACACCCCGAAGACTAGTTTTGATGTAACAGATTTCGGCTATACTAAAGTCCGAAAAATGAAAATGACGCATTTCCGCACGAAAATTTTTGTATATTTGTACTCCTAACGCCTTCTAGAACGCATATATAAAGTCATTTTTTATATAACAGATTTCAGCTAAACGAATTAGAATAAGTCGGAGGGGGGTTAATCTCTGCGACCTTAGAGATCTATTGTGTCCTCCTTTCTTGAGTTATAACTCATCATACAGTCCCAGGACTTCCTACGGAGACCCGTGTCCTTCACAGTCGAGGGGCTACGACCCAGGCCGGGTAGACGAAACGGTAGCTTATGTCGCCTGTTGGGTTTAGAGGTAGGAGGTAGGCTCCCGACCCTGGAGGAGGTGGTAACTCAGTATGCCACTTGCGGAGGGTGGTCTCACACAAGTGTCAGCCACCTCTCCTGTAGTTCTCTTTGGGTTTGGCCCTTGGAACTTTCATTGTTACTGTTCCCAGTGTTGCTAGGGGTTTCCCACAGCTTCACCGGTGATGTTTTTATTACTATTATTACTAGATCTCATAGTGTTCCCATGAGTCGCTAGGGGACAAGTCGGTCCACTTCTACAGAGCCCCGCATGTAGAAGTAAGGGGTAAATACAATGGTGCCCCCGGTGCCCCAAGGTTGAGGCTGTCCGTAGCCCCGCGCGGTATCGTTATATGTCTTGGTGCGATTCCCTGGCCACGACACTACAGTCAGGGACAAGACGATGAGTGAGATGCTTCTTAGACCAAGGCAAGTGCTAGGGGGGATTCCCCCCAGCACCTGACCAGGAGCTTCCCCACCAACGACAAGGTCTTGCATCTCCTAGGGGAAGCAGCTAAACGAAAGTTGAGCCGTAAACTCCTCTAAACACAGTACTGCCAACTATTTCCATCGTTGTTGATCAATTATTATGATACTTATGTTTTTATTTAAAAAATGTGTCATTAAGTCATTAGCGCCATTAAATTGAAAAAGAAAGCATGTATGGTCGTAATAATGGATAATTTTTTTTATAAATAACTAAATTAGGTGCCTCGGTTTTATAAAAGAACTTGTTTGTTTTTTATGACATCGCCATTTGATACATAAATATATTATGTTTCTATCGATTAAAATGATCTATTACTGTATAATTTATAATAATAATGATAAAATGTTTATCATTACTAAAAACGAACATAGCATAATTTTTCTTGTCTTAATTCACGTGATGGTAATTTAAAACTTTTTTCTTTATCATAATATAATTTAAGAAAAAATATTATAAAGAATAATTTTACTCCATATCACTTCTTCATGTCGATCTTTTTATAATTTCTAAGAATTGATGTGATATAAAGACTAAAATTCTTTTTATTTTATGTAATTTAAGAAAAAATGTAAACATTTTTGTTTGATATGAGTTTTTCGTGTTAATCTGCCCGTATTTACTGAGAATTATGGAAATATTTTGGAAAAAATTCATTACTCTTAGTTGGTTGTCATATAATTATTTATATTATGATTAATAATAATAATTATTAAGTACCCTCATATATCTTGATAGTGGGGTTATATTTAAGTAATATAACCCCAAATATATTAAATAAAAATATTTTAAGGATCATTTTCTAATAACATTTGTTACCTTGTGACACTAATAACATAGTTTAAATATCCAGTGCTAATACCATTGGCAAAACCAAATATGAAAAGCGTAAAAATATGAAAAAATATGAAAAGCGTAAAATTTGTTTAAATATTTTTAATTTGACAATTCAAAAATTTTGCAAATCATCACATGTCATAACTTTTTTACATCATGATGTTAAATCATGAACTCTGCTTATTGAAGGTTGAAATTGAAACCATTTAACATTGCAAACATCTCATAATACTAGAGGTGTTATATATGATTTTTCTGTCATGACAGTTAAGTTAACATTGTAAACATTTTAAAATAAAATCTACAAAGTATACAAAAGCGTGACAAATAGAGATTCACAAACAGATGTTTCTTTGTTCTGTTGTTTTTTTCTTTAGATGCCTTCTGACGAAATCATAACTACATAGACAAAGTAACACCAAGTTTTATACTTTAGTTGTACTTGTTTACTTGTTTTAATAGCAATTATTATGTTACAGGACGATACAGGATCCGGCTAGCCAAAGACTGACATGGTACAAACCTCCGTTGACAGTTCTTGTAATAAAGAAGGTTAGAGATGCTGCAGTGTACCTTCCTTTTGTGCAGTTGGTTCAATGGCTCATAGAGGTAAAAAGTAATTACTAAAACTTTAGTCAATCGTATTATAAGGCCCATTTCTTACTTACCCGTATTTTAGTATACTATTTTTTATTTTTAATAACTATTTAATTCGAATTATTGAAATACTTTTGTAACTTTCTATGTCGCTTAATGATGACGAGTTTATCCCTATCCTATGAAAATCTTTGAAATCGGTTGTGCAGGGCCGCAACCAGCAATACGGAGAGATCGTAGGATTTGGCGCCCAACGTGGGGCTCAATGTATATCTTTCTTATTTTTGCCTCTTTATTTTATTTGTAGTTATAAAATCGACGGCTTTAGTTTGTCCTACTGGGAAAAAGGAAAATTTGTTTTGTCAGACATAACTACCATGATTTGTCAAAAAATACTTTAATCAACAAATCATGAAAATCTTAACAATTACCAAATAGAAATGTAAATTCACAAACGACAAAGAAAGTGGGCGATTTCATGACTACATATGAAAGAAAGACAAACAAGAGAGAAATAGATACATTAGGCCCCACGTTGGGCGCCAAATCTTTATCATAATTAAAGAACACAGATAATTACAATAGTATTTCAATAATTTCACTCGTATGTGGGCTAGCCTCCAGTCTAATTAGTATTTTCTTCCAGGAAAAACGAATGGTGGTTTTCGTGGAGGCTGCCGTCATGGACGACCCACACCTGGACCAAATCGGGTCGTTCACCACCTTCAAAGACCGCCTGATGACGTTCAGACTAGGCAAGGACGATCTGACAGACAAAATCGACTTTATCGTGTGCTTGGGCGGAGACGGAACTCTGCTGTACGCCAGTCAGTTGTTCCAGCAATCAGTGCCGCCCGTGATGGCTTTCCATCTGGGTTCGTTGGGGTTCCTTACGCCTTTTAGGTTCGACAATTTCCAGGAACAAGTGAACAATGTCCTTGAAGGTACCTACGATTTTTAATTTTATTAAATCGTCTAGATTTATGTTTTAAGAGCCTATTACGCTGTACTGTCCAGGTCGGGTAAAGCGGGTGTGTGGCCGAAGGAAATATATATTATACTCAGAAATCTGCTTAAGGCTTAGCCCGATCCTGTCGTGTTAAGCCACACCTAAAATTCCAAACACACGTGCTTTGATTAAGGCTTGATTAAGGTTTGCAAAGCAATTTGTTACAAAACCATATAAATTATATATCACTGTAATCACAAAACTTCAATCTATTTCCGTATTGTAGCGGAATTGTAAATTGTGTCTTTATTTTCGAGAAAATTTAGTCCAAACATAAGGAATATTTTTTTGATGTTTGACCATCAAAATCTTAAAAATAAAGAAATTGTCTACAAATGTGCTACAATACGGATATAGTATAATCCTTTATCATTAATTTCCTACTTTATTTGTGTAAAAATACCTAATCAGTTTTATATGAAACTTTAAATGCTGAACGATTATTTACTAACGCATTTTTTCATTGTATTGATCAGGACATGCGGCTTTAACGTTAAGAAGTAGATTAAGGTGTACTGTGATGAAGAAATCCGACTCCAAGACGGAAAATTCTAGCAAAATCGAGGATGAATGTTGTAGAGAAAAGCCTTCGAGTTTTCTGGTGCTCAACGAAGTGGTCGTGGATAGGGGACCGTCTCCGTATCTGTCCAACATCGATTTGTTTTTGGACGGGAAACATATCACTTCTGTCCAAGGAGATGGCTTAATAGTAAGCACGCCCACAGGTGAGGAGCCAATCAATCATACTATATTTTTTAGAAATAAGTATTTAACAAATTTATTTCATAACCAATAATATCAGTATTATATTTTAAAACATAGTTTAAAACAAGTGTTTTAAACCTATTTTAAGAATAATCCCAGCTGTGGGGTTAAAAAGTGTTTAAAACAATTTAATAGTTATTTTTTATACAAGACGATAAAATGGTATTTTATCGTTGACCGAAAAGATTAATTTACGAGCGATGAAATCGCGAGTGAATTAATTTCGGGAGACGATAATGCAATTTTATCGTCGTGTGTAAAACAATATTTTTTTCCATAGCGAGTTACGTTTTAAAAAATATTCAGAAATTATTATTTCAAGGAATTTATTAAGAGTAGAAAAAATATTGTGCTGGGTTGGCGTTGGTTTCTATGTAATTTGACAAATAAATAAAGCAGTCTCTTTAGTTGTCAGTTTTGAGTCAATATTTTTTAATTATCTTTCGTGTCGATTGCTGATTGAATTGAAGTCAGAAATGGCTCAAAACGAAATAAGTAAATTACCAACAGATATTCAGGCTGAGGCGACAAACGCCATATCCAAACTACTTCCATTTAAATCCCGAATAACTTATGAAAATGAATACAAAAATTTTCAAAAATGGAAGCAATTAAAAAACGTGCGAGAAGAAATAAAGTTTTTAACTTATCCTCGCTGTTAAACTATCATTTAATCTACCCTTGCGGTTAAAGTTCTATTTTATCTAATATTTTTGATAGATCAAAGGCAATTTTAACAGTTGCTATGAAAATAAGTCTTTCAAACCATAACATGTTTTTTAACCCTGAATCTTAAGCAATTCATTTTTTTTCAGGAAGTACAGCCTATGCTGTGGCTGCTGGTGCCTCTATGATCCACCCCAGTGTTCCAGCTATCATGGTTACCCCCATTTGTCCCCATTCTTTAAGTTTTAGGCCTATAGTTGTACCTGCGGGAGTCGAATTAAAGGTACACATACTTTTAATATATTTAATAACATTTTTCTTCCAAGCTAGGGTACAATATCTTGAAAATTTCGAATATATGTTTATTAGAGAATTTTTTTGTTACAGATTTCAGTTTCTCCCGAAAGTAGAAATACGTCGTGGGTTTCTTTTGACGGCAGAAATCGGCAGGAACTCGTTCACGGTGACAGGTATGTATTTTCCCTTATATTTTGCATAAATAACCGTTAATATTGCTGTGTGTTAAATTTTTAACATATCTCTCAAAAGCGGCTCACCCCCTATAACTTTTTTATTTTGTCATAAAAAAATTAGATTTGGTATGTTAGTACATGACATAAATTAGGATTGATTGACGTATTCAATTGTTTTAGGTCACTTCCTGTTTTACCGGAAATGACTACAACTTTTGACTTTTAAATGACACCGTCAGTATTTTTTTACTTCCCTCAATAGAAAATGATACTCTGAATAGAATGACATATCTTTATCATATGTCAACTTTTGACATTTTCTCATATGGTTTATTTGAAATTGTAACATGCGGTTCATAACGATAATTTGACTCGAAATACAAAGTGTGTGGTACCAAATTCGTAAAAAATGCTTTTCCAAATTATGCTAATGAGCCACCCTCATTCCTTTGAAAAAATTAGGATATGATTAAAAATACGATTTGGGCATCTTTTAACCGGCCAGGACGAGATACGAAAAACCAAGACTCCTAATAAACATTTTTATTTTTAACACAACCAGTCTAGATTGAAATAGAGGTGTGTATAGTTCGTGAATGAACTAGTTCCAATGAACTATCCGACCCCGAAATGAACTAGTTCCCGGTTTCTCAAAGAACTAGTTCCTCAGGACCATAGACAAACTAACAAAAGCAAGACTTTTCAAAGCATTGAGGAAGTCGAATTATTGTTTTTGCGCTGGCCAGTTGAGTCAGAAATCATCGCGCAGTCGCTCTCGTCAAACCTAACCTATAGTCTGTCCAACGAGAAGATCCTTGACAGTGATAGATGTGTCTGTCATTTTAATTTCAAAGTAGTTTATTTTATTTTACAAAGAAATAAGTTGGTACAACTGGAACGCATAGCAGGAAATATTTAAAATTTGATTGACAAGATGACAAGTGATTACTTCAAAATATTGTGAAAAAACTGTATAAAACTGAAAAAATGTAATCGAGTTATTTTATTTAATAAAAACGGTATGTGTTAATACAAAACAAACAAGAACAAGACACTACATACCAAAAAATATAAAAAGAACTATTATTTACTTTCAAGCTTTATGAAACTACCCGCATTTATGATTATATTTATCAATATAACTTATGTACAAATACAAATTTGTAATATTCCACAGGAATAAATAAAAAAACATAGGTAAATAAAACAAACTATTTTATTAATAACACCTACCAAATTTTATACCTTAAAGGTTGATTAATTAACTTTAATCTTAATTTTTTTTAAACCAGTACCTACCTTTTGACATTATTTTTCTGCAGTACTAAAATCCATTATTTACCTATCGTGTGATGTCGATATTTTACAGCTGCTCCAGTTTTTAGTATGTGTTTAGTTTGATCCTTCTACCATATACGAGATGCACTTATCTACGACGAAATGGTATACAAACTTTATCGATGGCAACTTCATTGGTGTATAAGACTTTCTGCCTGGCGAGTATTAACCATAAACTGTGCTCTGGGTCTACAGTTAATTTTCACTCGATTTTTCCTCCACTTGACTTCAAAAGACACAAAACACGCGTAATAATACGAATCAAAATGCATCATCTTCCAAAACGCAGGGTATTTAACAAAAGTTGACACAAAATTATAACCTATGATTTGGCAAGACTTTGACAAACGTCAAAAATGACAAAAATCTAAAGGCGAGTTCATACGCATCGGCGTCCGTTTGTCGTTCATCGTTCCGTCAAACCAATAAAATTGAAATACGATCTGTCATTTTTTAAATAAACCAATAAAACTGGTTAAAAACAACAAGACACGACGCATGACGGATTTATATTTAAACCCATCCATAGATAACTTAAAAATTATTAGAAACTTTTTTTAGTAAAATAAATAGATTGGTATGGGACGTCATCTGCTTTTCTTCTGTCATCGTCTGTCGAAATCTTACCTGAGAAAAAAAACAGAGTATAAATAAAACGAAAAACGTTTTTGCCTTGAACCATCCTTGAACGAACTGTTGAATTCCTGATTTTGCGTTTTGTTTGCTTATTACTATTATTTTATTAGCGTACAAAACGAAAACAAATAATTTAATACATTTTACATTTATGAAGAACATAATAATTACTGTGATTATACATATTATTGTGATTACATCGCTAACGTAGACAAAACGAAGGTCCTACAAATTGACTGTAAGTTATAAGAATCTTTATCTTTTTAATCTTTTTATGATTTGAATTTTCGTGCTTTATATTTTATATTAGACTCGAAATGTTAATATTTTTGCAAATTCTTGTGAAAATGTGAAGTTTATGTTTCTGTTTTATATTTGAAAAAGTTGTATATTTTTAAGATGTTTATTATTGTTCCTATTATTAATATTATAACATACATAATTATTTTTTGTACCTTTTGAAGAATAATGCTTTTATTTCGTTTACCATAACTGTTGTTTTTTTATCAGTTTTTTAATAAGAGGAATACGTTTTCGTTTATTTAACTGATAATTTATAACTAATCTGTTATGTCCAGAAATTATTGTTTATTTTACCGATGGAAATACATTTATTTGATTTTAATAAACGCTTTTTAATTAAACATCCTTGTCTAAAAGGCTACTACAAAATACACAATCCATAAGTAAACCCTCCTCGTCTAAAAGGCCAGTTGACGCAAGCGCGGTAATAAACTCTTATCAAACTTGTTACCGTTTTGCAGTACAGCGTTGACGCGTCTTGCTTTTGTTAGTTTGTCTATGCTCAGGACTTATTCCGGGATCGAAACTGTGACCGATAATACCGTATGATCGAATAAAACGGCGTCAGCGATGGCTATGAAATGAAGATCGCTGTCATTTTATATATATAATTATATTGGAAATGTCATCGATGATCATTTCCAAGCCAACTGGACGCCATTTTTTTTCGATCATACGGTATAATTATATGCGACGGATCGGCCAGCGCGATCGTAGCCCGATGCTAGGCAGGAGTGGAGACTGCCAGCCGTATGTTACCGGATCCGGACCTAGAGGAACTAAATAAAAAACTAGTGTACGTACGAATCGGTCAGCGCGATAGTAGCGATGCTAGACGGGAGTGGAATGCCAGCCGTATGTTACCTGTCTCGGACCGAGAGGAACTAGAGGAACTAATTAAAATACAAGGTGACGACCATGGATTCGGCCTTGTCTGTTTCCACAACCAGTGTAATTACCCCTGAAAGTTGTCGTGGATACTGTCTTTCATTTTAGTTTGTTCTTTGAATATTTTATCGGAATGTTTCACTTTAGGTCCCTAAAATTAAGAAATATCTTATAAAACGAACTAGATATTCTGAATACAAAAAATGAAAAAAAAAGCTTGAAAAAATTTTCGTATTATTTGCTCCAATTGATTTATGGTACAGTTTTTTAAACTCTAATTTGAATTTCTTTTTATTTTTTTATCAGCAATAAAACTTACCTATACGTTTTTAACACACGCAATTACAACGTCTCGTTATATTTCGTACATTATCAAAATTATACAGATCATACTGTGAATAGTTTTGACTGACAACGAAACCCATTAGCAAGCAACGGGAATGTCAATGTTTGTCGGGAACTATTGTGAACTAAAGACCTAGTACAAGGAACTATTCCTCTGGAGGAACTAGAACTAAGGAACTAGTTCCTCCCAAGGAACTAGAATTCCCACCTCTAGATTGAAATTTAAAATACTATTTTTTAAAGCGAAAATGTCAAAAGTTGACATATGCTATGTCATTCTATTCGGAGTGTACTTTTCTATCGAATAAAGTAAAAATATACCAAGGTTGACATTTAAAAATCAAAAGTTATAGTCATTTCCGGTGAAATCCTAATTTATGTCATGTACTGTACTAACATACAAAATCTCGTTTTTTTTTATCTGAAAAAGCACAATAGTTATATGAATGAGCCACTTTTGATACGCACCCGGTATACTCTTTCCTTAGTCTTTTTCTTCAATGATATTGATTATATTCATTCTTTGACAGTTTACGAGTCACGACGTCTATCTACCCCGTGCCGAGCATCTGCGCGCACGACCAAATCACCGATTGGTTCGACTCCCTAGCCGAGTGCCTTCACTGGAACGTCAGAAAACGACAGAAACACCTGGACGAACTCACCGATCTCACTCATTCCAGTTCCAACGACACGCTCGACTCGCTCGACAGGGAATTGAACGAAAAAGAATAAAAATACATTTTGAAAACGAATACACAACAGCAATTTATTTATTACAATACGGTGACAGAGTGTACGCGTCTAACCAGTTTTTAACCAGAGAATTTTAAAAAATGTCTATACCTATGTGGCGGATTCATCTCTCCAAAAAATCCTATATGGATATTTCGCCACTGCAAGAAAATCTACAAAATAAAATAGTTATTTTTTATAGACACTGCTGCGTTCCAATCCGATCGGAAACTACTAGTTAGGTTTACAGATATACAAATTTGCCTAACGAACAAAAAATGCTTAACGTTTCGGAAAATTTATCTCTTTCCGTCGTCGGAAGCAAAAAAAATGCAAAGAATAAAGAAAAAAAACTATTGTTACGTTTTTCGTCGGTTCTGTGTAGATAGAAGGTCACAATTTATTTAACACTAATTAACAAAAACAATAACGATAAAAGACTTAAAGAACTATTTACAAACGATTTACAACTATTTATCTAGAAAGAATTTATTTTGAATTTTGCATCCTCTACAGGCCCCAGCCGCCGGCTTTTATACCCACAGCTAAAGATTTCTCGAATAGTCCATAGATCGTTAGGTGCATACATATAGAGAAGGTTTCGAATGTTCTTGTATGTACTACTCCATTCCAGTGGAACTCGATTCTTCTCGAAACTTCGAATGAATTACGGTGTCTATTCTTTAATGCGATGTTAAGGTCATCTGAGGGCGGGACATATAGTTAGGTTAGGTCGAGTCCACACGGGTCCGCAACACTATTTAAAATATTTAAATTCAACTATTCGAGACTTTAGTTTTTTAAAATAGATACGTCTACAAAAACCGTTGACGTTCTGTTAAAAGTTAATTAACAATTACTACCTGATAACAATTACTTAGTCAGGTAAAACCAAAAAGCCCCAAACTTTCTGTATGATTATTTTTATTTTTTAAGTATGTTATGTTTATTTATGTTATGTTCTTTAAAATCAAAGAAGCGATTGCCATACATTACTAACATCTACAGATGCATGAGCAATACATTTTTTATTTTTATTAGATTGTATTAAAAAAGCCTCTCTTATTAGAGACTATAGCTTCTTTCATTATAATTTTGACGTTAAAAAAGCCCCCAAAAAAAATAAAAGCCTCTAAAATAAAAATAAAAGAGGCAATTATTTTAATATAATCTAATAAAACTAAATGTATTGCTCATGCATCTGTAGATGTTAGTAATGTATGGCAATCGCTTCTTTGATTTTAAAGAACATAACATAAATAAACATAACATACGTAAAAATAAAAAATAATCATATAGAAAGTTTGGGGCTTTTTGGTTTTACCTTATTTAGTAATTGTTATCAGGTAGTAATTGTTAATTTTGAAGTTTAACTTGGATATAATGTCATTTTAACAGAACGGCAACGATTTTTGTAGACCTATATGTTTTAAAAAACTAAAGTGTTCTCGAATAGTTGAATTTAAATATTTTAAATAATTTTTTCTTTATTCTTTGTATTTTTTTTGCTGCCGACGCGACGATCGCTTTACTATGTTCACGCGTACTTGTCTTCACAGGTTTGTTTTGGACGCGACGTAGCGCTGCTTGCTCGCCTCTCTCCTCGTCGCTCCACTATGTTTTGCGCCTAACACAGCAGTGTTTACAAAAAATAACTATTTTATTTTGTAGATTTTCTTGCAGTGGCGAAATACCCACAGATATAGGATTTTTTTGGACAGAGAATTTTAACCTAAATTTTTTTCCAATCAGGTTTTTTTAAATTCTGTTTCTTTTTTGATAGTTACGAGTATTTTAAAAAATAACACAACTGGTTAGACAAACATACAACTGTGATTAAACGGTTTTCATCAAGTGTCTTTTTTGCGACTGTTTTTCTATATTTGCTCTCTCTTTCTATCACACTACTTTTTTTTAGCAAAACAAGAACTACCAAAGAAAACCGAAAAGTTATTAGATAATTTATGTTAAAAAGTTTTTTTGACGGTTATTTTAAAAATAATCGGTTTGAAAATTATTTTGTTAGATGGATAATGCCAGACAAAAAAATCCTCTAATTTGTTAGTACAAATAATATTTATATTTTATTTAAAATAAAACTTTAGGAATTTCTTAAATATACAGTATGTCCCCGGATTGCCTTTACAGGAGGAAAAAAAAACTTTTTTTATTATTGAGATTTTGAGAAAAGTGCATTCTTCACAAAAATTTTTGCTTGTTCTAAAATGATTAATATACTTTATACTTTTTTTTATACTTTTCCAAATTTCCATACCGTTTTAGAGGAAATTGAAAAAAAACGTGAAAAAATGGTTGATTTTTTTTCTAGGTCCTAAAAATTAAAAGGCGGTTTTATGGTAATATAATTTCGATTTCATTCTTTGATAGATGATTAATATTAATTTTGATTAACGTCATATTGAACTAAATAATGTTGTGCTCTTTGACATTTTAAAACAACAAAAAATATGACGTTAATTTTAATTCTATCAATAACAATCGACGAAAACGAATTTATATTACCATAGAAACGCGTTTTAAAAAATTTGGTTTTTAGGACCAAATCAACCATATTTTCACGTTTTTTTCAATTTTCTCTAAAACGGTATGAATATTTGAAAAAGTATGAACGGGATTAACATTATAGAACAATATTTCTCAAAATGTCAATAATAAAAAAGTTTTTTTTCCTCTTGTAAAGACAATTCGGGGACATACTGTACAGTAGATTCAAAATATTTTTGGGTATATGAAAAAAATTATTATTTTTATTTCTTTTGAGTTTCTCTTGATAAAAGTCTTCACAAATGAGCAAACTGCCAATGAACAAAATATTGTTTGGTATATTTTGGTGGTGTTTACTTTTCGAAGTTCCCCTGTATAAGAAACAACAAATTTTTACTGCTTTATTAACAGTTTGCTGAGTCCAGAGACTTTTTTTATCAAGAATAAAAAATTATGCGAAACTCGTTTTCATATATTCCATTATTTTGATCCTACTGTCAAGTAGAGCAAAAAGCAATGCAATAATATAAAAATATGTATACAGGGTCTCTAAAAAATCTGCATAAAGTGGGATTAAAAAACAGATTAAGTTAGGTAAAGTTTTTGCTTTTCTATAATCAAAAATTTAGTATGGTATGAGATAGTTGAGCGACTTAGTTTTCTGTCAACTTTGACATTTCTTATTAAAAATATCAAAAAGTGCCAATTTTTTATTAAAATTTTATACGATAATTTCCTATTTTTTATAATTTTTTTAATTATTTTGATCAATCCCTGTATATTCACTTTTACCTATGGATACAAAAATAAAACTTTGAAGCATAATAAACAGTTTGTAGTCAAAGTATTTGCGAAATAGTGATTAATACATCAGATTAACAAATATTATATTCATCTATTTGAGAGAGGACTTTCTATAAGAGTCGATACTCGCGAAGTCGGTAGGCCATTGACGATGATATAGCTGTAGACCGTAGTTCGGACTCCGGGTAAACAAAGTAGGCCTCGTCCACATTAGCATTAACAGCAAAAAGCAGGCGTTATCTGAAAATACTTTTTTGCCTTTTCTCAAATTAAAAGTTAATATACAGGGACTAGTCAAAATATTCATAATATTGACCAAAAATAGAAATTATCACAGGGTGACGAAATTTAGAAGGTAGATAATGAATGCAAAACTGCAACATTTTTCAAAATTTTAACAAATAAGAGCACGTTTCAACATTTTTAATAAAGAATATCAAATTTGAGTGTTTAAATAAGCAAAAACTATCTGTGTTCTCTGATTATATTTGTGCCTAACATAATACTAAAAAAATCCTATTTTATGTGGAGTTTTTTTAGACACTGGACGTTTTTTTATTTCGAATAAATAAATATTTAATCTCCTTGAGAATATTTTACTTAAACTATTTTTATCTATTTATACGTGTTGATTATGAGTTTTTAATCTGAGGTGAGATAATATTAGAGGTTGTTTTGTTCTGGCCTTTTACCGTGATACAATTTTAGATAAATTATTATAATTGTTTTTATATAGAGCTCGGTTGTGGTTAAGGTTTAGATTACAATAAGTATTGGCATGGGTCACTCCGTTTTAAGTAATTTTTAGGCAAACGACCAATAGAGCTAACGCAATAAGTGCCAACTACACAATTTTTTTATATACCATATAGATAAAGATAATTGTTTTTCATTTTTGAAATAAAACTATTTATGTTTTTAATGCTTAAGTTTTTTTATACTCTTTAGCCTTTGTGATCAAATAATACATGAAGCCATATACAGGTTGTTAATTTGTTTATTACTCGCGGCAAGAGCTTTATGGTTGAAATATGGCAACCTCAGCCCGCTCGTCGATAGACGACGCGACGGGACGAGTCGGTAGAAAATTCTATAAGTGCATACTGTATTACTCAATAGTCAGTGTTGCCATTCTTTCCCCTATAAGTAACTGTCTGTATACAGATTGTTAACTCGACAGTTACTTATAGGGGAACAGAATGGCAACACTGCCTACATTCCAAATGAGTACTAAGCTAAGCTGCCGACTTGTCGCGTCCCGTCGTCTCTCAAAACTCACGCTTGCGTAGTTCAAAGCTGTTGAACGAAAAGGACCGACTTATGTGGATTTTGTATAGCTCCATCTCAAAAATTTGGCTTCAATTTCTATTCCTGGCTAGCGATATAGTGCAATATTTAGATATCAAGCCCTAATGTATGCAACTCACATTACACTACATCCTAAGGATATTCCCTCTCTACCTGCTCATCTAATTTCAGCGTTAAGAATAGGTGACATAAGGTCGAGAATCAAATAGAACTATGTTTAGGACTAAACATATTGCTGGTTGCATACTGTATTAAAGCATAATAAATAGGAACAAAAAAAATGCTCTTAATTCAAAAATGAGTAAGCAATAGATATTAATTAAACAACATACCTTTTTATTAAAGTTTTCTATATTCTGATAAACATCATAACAAATACTTATTCGTATAACAAATAGATTATAAAAAATTATAAACGCTTTATAACTCGTAATTACGATACCTTAATAATCTACGATTGGTTTATTTTATATCACATAACGTCTTATATCCGTTAAAATTTTGTAACAAATGGCATAAAAATTCAAAAATGGTAACTTATCCTTAAATAACATGAATCTAGTCTCTAATATTAACGGCCGTATATCGAATATGTCATTTTTTGTCTTTTTGAATGTTATGAAAAATTTAGTGAATAACTTGCTTAATTTTCGAATCATAAAATGACGGAAACAAAGGTAAATTTAGATGAAAATTTTGTGTAACCTGTGTTACTTTTTGTTAAATATTTTTAGGTCGCCTAATTTTCTAAAATATTTTAAATTGAAGCAGGCGTTGTGACCGTTTTGGTTACTGATGAAAACTCATATTTTTGATATTTTAAAAAATACGTTCTTGTGAACAATATCACAAATTTAAACAATTTAAAATGTTTTTTTTTCTGTAAAAATTTATAAATATCTATTTATAGATGCAGTTCTTTTGTAGAATTCTCACAGGTGCCAGAAAAAAAATTAAATTAACCGATATTACGTCATCAGGAGACAGATTTTAAGTGGGAGCAATAGCAATGTTTCTTAAATAAGTGCAAATCTTGATAAAAGAACTATATTGTCTATAAGAAAAATGTCTATATTCCATGTTTTAATTATGGCCAAAATACTCAACTTATTTAAGTGAAAAACAAACAAAAAATCTTTACATTTTGGGAGCCGCCGATTTATTCATGTTTGTTTTCTTTTCTACATTAAATTGGCTATCTATGTTGCCATATTTACATGAAAGTATGTTATCTAACTATTTTTTTTAAATTTCACACCTCAAATACAAAAGGGGTATATACAAAGTAATGTACGAAATGACAACATTGCATGCCTTTATTATACGGTTAAGGAAATATTTTTGAGAAAATTTCAGCTGAACCTGCAGCTCTAAAAGATTTTCAAAATATACTGAAAAATTAAAGAAAAATACAAATATTTCAATAACATTTTTCTTAAATAAATTCATAGGCTTGTCTAGGCTGTTGAAATATACTAAATAAACCTGCAGCACGATTTCTTTTAATTTTCCTTCAAAATGTCAAGAAAAATAGAAAATTTTGTACCTTCATTTTGCTAAAAACCTCTGAGTAACCTAAAACCTGTGCTAAAAACCTAAATTGTGTTACTATCAGTTAAAATATTTGCACTTATTTAATCATTCACCTTGTATAAGTGTATAAACTACTGATCCTATTATAGTAGCTTTTTTTGCTATATTTCATAGTTAAAATAAGATATAGTCCAATCACCTTAGGGCTAAAACGGTTTACGGTTAAAAAACGGCGTCAGTGATGGTTATAAAATCCAGTTGGCCTGGGAATGTCACCGTTCCCATGCCAACTGGACGCCGTCTTTTTCTCGATCGTACGGTATACGAGCAAGACCAATGACTAAAGAATACAATTCTTTAATCATTGAGCGAGACTGTGATTTTGTCATCTACTTGTCATGTAATAGAGATTAAGTGTGTCAAAAGTAATGACTGTCTAATTTTTTTGTTTAAAAGATCTAATGGTGATTAGGCTATGGCATTATACAGACGTTTTTTAATTGATTTTTTAAACATCTTCTACAAAAGAACTGAATATTTCCCTGGATAAATTAAAAATGAAACACTAAAAAATTTAAATATTAAAAACCAGAATATTTTAATCTAGTGTTTCAAAAGTTATTTTCTTGCGTTTTAGAGAATATTAACAAAAAAATATCACTAAAAATTTTAAGTCGTAACTGATTTTTGAAACCTCAAATGCCTCAGTCCTCCAATATTTTTTTGCTCTGTTATACTCCTATCTTTCTCATCGCCACCTCTATGCTCAAAGTATTTACATATCTCCCTCACAGCGATATGAGTCTGAATATTGCTCAGATCGTGGCAAGACTTCGCTCTTTTAGTTATAGCAGTCGTGTCCACCCTAGAGGACACGTCCTCTGAACTCCTAACCTTCCTCCCCATCTTACACAGCGACTCAAAAAGAAACAGTTTTTCTTTGACAGGCACGTAGGTCTCAACGTTCTGACATTTCTTCAGTAAAGTCTCTATAACCTCCTCAGTGTTTTCCGAAGATTGTGATGGTGATTTTACTGGTGAAACAGCAGGCGATTCAGGCCAGTCAGGAATCCGGGTTGAACGCCTTGGTGAATCGGGGACGTCGTAGCTGATAGAGGGAGATGTTTTGGTTTGGGTGATGTTGTTGAAGTTCCAGTCTTTTGGGCAAGGGTCGGCAGTCTTGGTCCAGCACTCGGCCAGGGTGAGGATGTCCAGGTATTTGATAGCGTCCAATGGAGTTTGGCGGATCAGTTCAATGGCTAGGATCTTCACCCATTGGTCGAAGGATTTCTTGTCAACGGTCTAGAATCAAAAGAAGACAAAGTATAAGTTACTGATTTTTACAAAATTTTGCCTAGATAAGCGGTACTATATATAATAGCTTCATAATCTTCAGTAAATTTTGAATATTTTTTGTTAGAACCATTTTCCTCTATCTGCCAAAGTAAAGTGGTGGAGGAAGGTTAGATCTGCTTTTATTTAAATATTAATACCTCCGGACTGGACGAACGGAATCCAACAAACGGAGGCTCGTTTAAAAGAGCGTTTCTTACTCTATATCATACCGTATAAACAATAATAATAAGCTTTTGAATGTAGACGCTAGGGGGCGCTGTCTTACAATTTAGAAAACACTGCGCGTTTTTTCAAAAAAAATATAAATGCGATAGTATATGTAATTTTAGCTGATAGTAAAGAGTAATAAAAGCTTAAAAATTCAGCAAAAACCGCATAATGATATCGTCTTTCAAACCGAAGATATTAGCAAAATTATAATAAATGCGAAAAAATAAGCCCTTAATTACCTTATTTATATAACACGGTTACAGTAGCACTCTTGATTATGACCATTCTAATAAAAAATAAAATAGAAAAGATAAGCTTTTTTCTAAAATCGACAACATAATATACCAGAAAACCATAATACGAGATGTATTAATATTTAATAATTAAGATATCAATGACAGTGAATAAGAAACGACGCCTCAGTGAAGTCATGGTAGGCTTTGGAAAAAAGTTGCTTTTGACGTAATAGTATAAACGTCAAAGTGTTATTATAAATCAACATTTTGATACTCTTCGCAGCGTTTTTTCTATTTTGAAGAAAGGCATTTTTAGAAAACCAATCAAAAGATAAAAAACGCTGGTGATACAATTATACTACCTTATACAGAGTGCCTAAAAATTTATATTAAATAATTACTAGCTTTAAACGACAATAACTTGTTATATTAAATGGAACACCCTGTATATTTTACGTGAATCAGATGCACAATTTAATTGTGCATCTGATTCGGTGTAAAACTTTACCTGTAAAGTTAAAACAATGTTGGATCCTCTGCATATGGCTATGCTGTTTGGTTGGGGTCCAGCCTGGAGGCTGAGATGCCTCAAAGGCAGTCTCATAGCAGTCGAAGTTTGTTCTCCTGGAGTTGAGGATACGTATAGAAGACCACCTCGTATCTGGACTCGCCTGTGGTACCAGTTTTTTTCGGTGTTGCATTTTACTAGCAGCTCAGCTGGAACCAATATAATATCTAAAATTAGTTGTATATTCAAAAATTAAAAAGATCCTATAATACATACATTTAAAGAATATATTTTTTAAAATCTTGTCTATTCTATAATCTATAACTAATATTAAAAATGAAAAACGGTTATGGTAAAACAGGAAATAAGTAGTTTGTTCAAGGATCCCTTGAGATATAAGGACAGGGATGTAGAAAGGGGCACCACCTATGGTGGCGCCCCCTAGGTAATCGGCCAACCGTCTGGAAGACGAGACACAAAGGATCTGCCTTGTCTAGCCATTATAACACGTCCCCTATAATAATAGCACATTTTTTCTCGTATTTAAACTTCTACGTCTGCAACGGCACCCCTATTTTGTAATAGTGACCGCTACAAGAATAATATTTTCCAGTCTTCCCCTTTGCTACAGCTTTGTCAAGGTAATGGACCGCTATTGAGAGTATCATTAAACGTTTTGGGGTCGTTTTTTGTTACCTATTTGCGATCATATGAGAACTATTTGTCATTTACAATAACTAGATGGATATTATAATAATTATCATATTAAAGAAATTATCATATAAAAGAAATGTCTATACCTATGTCTATAAAATCATACGTTGGTTTTGTACCAGTTAGGCTTATACCTATCTATTATTCCTTCAAGATAAAAAGAAACTGTACCAAATTTTGACATACTTTTTTAAAAATTTGGTATTGTAGTACTGTTAGCCAACACCAAATCAGCACAGTTCATATTTGGCAGCTACAAGTCCCACGTTTCACCTTCGAGCTAGACGTACTACTCAGTACTTCGAAATGCAGGTACAATAATTAAAAAATAATTAAATTTCAGTTACATCATTAGAGGAAAATTACGATATAATATTGATTCAAATGATAATTATGTTTTAATACTGGGTTAGGTGATTTATAAAGGAAAACGTACTTGATATCGAACTAGTGCTGAAAGTACCTATTAGTGGAGAAAGTACTTGGCAGATTAATACCATTGCTGCAGGGATATATAGTCCAAATTCAATGAACCATACGCATTACAGTCGTTTGAGTCGTTACATGAGGATAGATAGTATTTTTGATTTATACAGGGTCTTTCGAAAAATATGTGTCGTCTCTCGTGGGGATATTTCTCACGTAAAAATAAGATTTTTTCTATATCAACATAAGTCCGATTATTTTATATAGTATTTATTAAATACCATTATTTTTGAAGATAATTACAAAAGACCCATTTTTTTAAACTTTTGACTTCATTTAGTTGAAAAAAAAAACAATTAAATACCGTATGATCGAAAAAAAACGGCGTCCAGTTGGCTAGGAAATGACGATCGATGACATTTCCCATATAAAATGGTTAATATAAAGATGGGTTATATGATGATGGGTATGATGAGTTATAACTCAAGGAAGGGGGGCACAATAGATCTTTAAGATCGCAGTAATTGACCCCCCTCTCACTCATTCTACATATAAAATGACAGCGATCTTCATTTCATAGCCCTCGCTGACGCCGTTTTTTTTTCGATCATACGGTATATTTAACTAAAATGTAAAAGTTTTAGAATAAAATATAAAAAATTAAAAAGTATTAATAGTTGCGGACCACCATAAAATATATTTAAAATTAGACATAGGAAGATAAAATTATTACATTTTTATCAAAATCGTTTGGACTCTGAATTTGTAGGAAATATTTATTTTATTTCATTGTCAAAGATTGTTAACGGTTTTTGGTTAGCCTCCCAAGGCCAGAACACAATTTTATTCTACGTAGCTATTTCCTTTTAGCTATTTTGTTGTTAAAAAAATTAAATTATTAAACAAGTCCAAATTTTTAAATCAGATTCCGTTTAAAATTTTTTAGATTTCAGTGTTTTAGATCGTAATTATGCTATCATTTATTTTAATACAAAAATTAAATAACAATGACTTATTTTAATATTAATGATAAATCATAAAGCTTACAGTTTCATTTAAAGCGTTATTCGTTATAATACTAATATTTAAAATACCGATCCTTGACCCCAAAAATGTATTTACAAATGCCACATATATGGACAGATTCAAATAAATAAACTTTATATTAAGGTTTCATTGTGAATCACCCAGTAGAACAATCAGCTATCGTGAAAAGTGATTATTTTTACACCTAAAGAATTTAGGAATTATCTACGTCCCTTAAGTCCTCTCTATGTCCCTCCAGTGCTGTTAAGAAGGTGAGTATGATGTAAATAATAATTTTATAATTAATTTATTTTTGTTTCCTAAAATATTTTGATTAAAAGAAAATATGTAAAAGTGGGCAACGCTGTGTCGGTCAAGCTTAATCATGTGACTAAAAGTTTATTTGATATGAACATGTTGTGTTTAGGACAATTTAATACATTTGTCACGTAATAAACGTAACAAAATACAATTATTCTGTTACATTACCCATCCCTGGTAGTACTAGTTTCCATGGGCGCCGGAAGAATGAAATTTACGGGGGGGGCAAGGTAAAAATGAATAAAAAATTGACATTTTTGGTAATTATTGGGAAAACTGGAAATCGTCCGATTTTCACCAAAATTGGTATACACCCTATTTTGAAGTCGTAGATTACAAATCTGAACGTTGCGAATCTTTTTTCTTGGCGGTCTCTTACCGTTTTTCAGAAAAACGGAAAATAATTTCAATATCGAATTTTTCTTAATTTCTCATATTTTTAAGGTTTTCTAGCACATATTTTGTTAGGTATTCAATAATCAATAATGTTTTTGCTATTTTCTGTTACTTTTTTAACCAATTCTATGCATAATAGAGAAAATTTGCTAAAATAAATTTGTAAACAATCTGAAAATGTTAGATTATAGCTTTGTTCGGGTTCTTGTTATTACCGATTCTGAACCGTCCAAGAACTCTGCAGCGCATGCGCAAATGAAATAATGTCTTCATATTTCCTTCTGCGCATACGCATCACAGTTCTAGGACGGTTCAGAATCGGTAATAAGAGAAACCCGAAGTAAGTTTATGTGTTTCTGGCATTTAAAGCAACGTTGCCAATGCTAAACCTAAATTTAGCGTGTTTTTTTCGCTCATTCTGGAATTACGAAAGGCGGTCGCCAGAAGAACGGCTCCTTCCCATAACTGCTATTTTACCAACGAGATCTGACTATTTATACCCACGAAGTTGCACGAAAGAGTTTTGATTGCATTGGTTACAACTTCCATGCAGAGGGTGTTAATCTTTTGTTGTTATATTATTAGATTAACTAAAAAAAGATTAACCCCCTCCGCAAAGAAGTTAAAACCAATGCAATCAAAACTCTTCCGCGTAATTTTGTGGATATAGGTGTATATTTAATTATTGTCGATCTCATAATAGGTAATTTATTTAAAATCCCTAATCACCCGAAAAAATAGAAGATATGGCAACGTTGTAAATTTTCAAATTTCTAGATTAGGTCTAGAATATATTTGTCTCTCTTATTACATAGGAGAGAGAAAGAAGGATATATCAAATGTCAAACTTCCATCTGGTCTCAATTTTCTTTGCTATTTTGTTAAGAAAAGTGTTTTTCAGTAAAATGTTGGACACTTTTCTATCCCCAATCAAGTGTGGCTTTTAGATAAACTATAATATAATGAAAATATAGTGAAATTATTACTTTATAGGGCCGAAATAAAGAAAAATTCAATGTTGAAATAATTTTCCGTTTTTCTGAAAAACGGTAAGAGACCGCCAAGAAAAAAATAGATTCGTAATCTACGACCTCAAAATAGTGTGTATACCAATTTTGGTGAAAATCGGACGATTTCCAGTTTTCCCAATAATTACCACATTTTTTATAATTTTACAGGCAACACCTAACAATTTCATAATAATGATTATTTTTTTTTACAGATGGATGTAAGAAGATGGATGTAACAGATGGATGTAAGAAGAAGCTTTTATTTTTATTGGTTCAGTGATCCGAGGGGGGGGGCAAATGCCCCCTCTTGCCCCCCCCTGTCCGGCGCCCATGCTAGTTTCCTAATAAGCGACCTGCACGTATGGGTACGAACATAGTGGAGGCAGGTTTCTGCTTTCCGGCAACCAGCGCCGTCTCTGGGGACCTATTCTTGACCACTAGCATCTTCAAATATCGCTCGCATCTCGCATCTCCGAAAAAGCGATATAACAATACACGTGATGCGTAACTTTGCGTATATGCCGTGTATTGTTAAATGGCTTTTTCGGAGATGCGAGCAGGGTTCGGAAGTAGTTAATTAAGAGGAAATTTACCTGATTAACTAACCTAACCTTACCTAACCATATTCATAGGTTACACACATAGGGGTATTTGATCTATAAACCTGGCCAAAAGTGAAATATTTTTATTTTCATTTTTTATCTTAACTGAATACAAATCTATAAATACTAAATGTAAGCGCATTTATTAGCTTTTTTTAAGTCGTAAGTTGACTATCAAATAAATAATATATTTCAATTATAAGTATGAATTATCTTGAGTGTATTCTGAATATTTCTAAGTATAAAATAAGTGGAATTGTTTGTAGTGCTTTTTGCAAATTGTTTATAATAACTGTCATGATGGATACAGAGCCAGCTGGCAAGTCCTGTTTATGCCATATTTTTATTTTGAAACGTTTCCTTCTATTCTATTTCTTTATAATGTTTTATATTTAAAAAATCAGAGGCTTTTTATAAGGTGTAAAACTATTCGGCAATATTCCGCATGGAAATTAGTATCCGTTCAATGCTTAAAGTCTCCAGCTTTGGAATATGTACAAAAATCTTGCCAATATTTGCCACTGCCAAAAAAAACATTGATTTAAATAGATTCTTAAAGGAATTAGTCTTTACCCTATAACACCCATCCTCGCTCAAATATCGTCTATAATATACAAATTACTTTCTTGTTCTAGCATCCTCATCCAATTGCTTGGCTTTGCACAGAATGACCCTATTTGATCGGTGGAACGGGTTTCAGAGTAGAGGAAAAAA